TTGGTTTCTTTCATTTGCACATGGAGTCTTCTTTTCGGAGGAACTGGTTGACGGATATGCCGAGCTAGCTACAGATCTCACTGGAGCGGTCGACCTAGCAGCCACTGTAGCCCTTGCCACCGTGTCGCGGTCGCCCAAGCCACCACTGTTGCAATGGCCAGGCCCAAGCAGCACGACGGATCCACTACTCCCCGGGACAGTGGTCGTGGAAGTTAAAATCTGCTAAGGGGTGTGTAACAACTCACCTGCCAAATCAACTAGCCCCGAAAATGGATGGCGCTGAAGCACGCGACCCACACCACGTCATCTTAGTGAGCACCATGTCCTGATGAGTAGAAGGGCGCGGCGGCCACTGCAAAACCCGGGGCGCGAGCCCGGGCGGAGCGACCGTCGGTGAAGATCTTAGTGGTAGTAACAAATGTTCAAATGAGAACTTTGAAGGCCGAAGAGGAGAAAGGTTCCATGTGAACAGCACTTGCACATGGGTAAGCCGATTCTAAAGGACGGGGTAACCCCAGCAGAGAGCACAACCACGCGCGTGCCCCGAAAGGGAATCGGATTAAGATTTCTCGAGCCAGGACGTGGCAGTTGACGGCGATGTTAGGAAGTCCGAAGACGTCGGAAGAGGCCTCGGGAAGAGGTATCTTTTCTGCTTAACGGCCTGCCAACCCTAGAAACGGTTCAGCCGAAGGTAGGGTCCAGCGGCCGGAAGAGCACCGCACGTCACGCGGTATCCGGTGCGCCCCCGATGGCCCTTTAAAATCAGAAGGACCGAGTACCATCCACGCCGCCACCGTTGATCCAACGAGGAAGAGGGGGCTGCCTCCCCGCCGGCGAGGTCCTCTTCCCCACACCGACAAGTTCCTCCTTTCCACGCCAGCGAGTTCCTCCTCTCCCACACCGGCGAGCTCATGTTTCCCCAACCGGCGAGCTTCTCTTCGCGCTAGTGTCGTCCCCGAGCTCAACCGCCGCTACACCTGGTTGCCGCCCTCCACCCTCCATGGCTGCACCGCTGCTCCCATCTCCTCCGTTGCAACCTAGGGCCTCCACCGCCGGTCCGCCACGCTCCTAGGGAGAGAGAAGGCGGTTCGCCATGCCTCCTACAGACAAGGGAGGACGGGCTCGCTGGGACTCGTCGGTGGTAGAGCCAGACGAACGAATGGCGAACGGAATCAATGACGCCGGCACGGACAGAGATGGAAGTGGCATGGAAGCGCCAACACCGCTGGATCCATGCCTCCCCCTAGCACCACCGCCGGATCCATGCATCCCCTAGCACCGCCATTAGATCCACGCTTCCTCCTACAACCGTTGTGCCAGATCTGCCGCTCTCGGGCCTAGCGTCATCGATTCGCCGCTCCTGGGTCTGGCGTCATCGATCCGCCGGTTCCTGGGCCCGCGAGCTGCCAAGCGGTATTGGACATCGTTGAGTCGAATCCACTGCCACCTCTCCATGTCTGCTAACACCGAGTCGAATCGGCCTCCTTGCTGACAAATCTAGCCTCCCTGTCGCGAGATCTGGCCTCCCCACTGCTAGATCTAGGGCCACAATTTCCGCTCTACCTATCACCGATGTGCCATGGCTTCAGCTAGTGAGGAGGATGGTGCAACTATGGTGTGCGATGGCGCCCAGGGTTTTGCGGCGGGGCAGCTAGGGGAGGAGGTTTTGCGGCGGGGCAGCTAGGGGAGGAGCCGATGATGGTGCCCTCGCTCTGCATGGTGGATCAAGACGGTGGAAAGGGGGAGAGGACACAGTGGTGGGTAAGGCTAATGCGCGAACGTTCGCTTTTCCCCGAGCCCGTGAATTGGTTCTGACCATATAAAACTCCCGCATGCATGCTTTGAGTAGCGTACCAATGTGAGTAGTGTACAACCATGATTAATGTAGTTAGCGTTCAATATGATTACTGCTGAATGACATCATTAGATATCTAGAAATAGCTATGTGTTATATTGCTAAATTTCGCAATGGAAACTTAATATTCAAATAATAATTTATTTACTATTTATAAGGATTTAAGTAAAATTGTATATTTTTAAATAAGAGATTTTATTTTCAAACAACAATCTATTTATCTATATGATTTTAAGAATTTATTTAGATCCTACAATGTTACGATCAAACTTTACAATATATTGCCTGGTATATAGATAAAAAAATATGCATATAGAGAATAGGCGTGCATGAGTTTACATGATTAGTGTGCGAATAATGATGAAAGGTGTTCTTCTCCTTTTTTTTTTCCATTTTGGACATGGCATTCAAGTGTGAACGGTATGGAATGAGATTCACATATTACCTTTTTCCAATATTTAATAAAGGGTGAATAGCCAAAGTGGTCCTCCAAGTTTCATCTGAGGCTCCAGTTTAATCCTTAATGTTTCAATCTATCCGTATTAGTCCTTCAAATTTTTGTTTTAGTTCAAACTTATCCTTGAACCAACAACTCTCTTGATAAATGACACTTATACCCTCATCATTCACATATATAAGAGAAAAATTGCATGCTTGATTCTTTTATAGATAATGCATAGTAAATTATGTAAAACGAAAATAAATTATTTACTAGAAAGTGTATACGGTAGCAATTGCTTAAGTTTCATGTGCACATGTTAAAATAATGGGAAGTACATCTATAATATTGTTTATTCATCTTGGTTTTTTGTTTTCTAGTATATAGTTGTATACAAATTAAGGGTAAAAGGGACATTTTCTAATAGAAATATTAACTAGAAATAGCCATATGGCATATTAAGTGGGCCCAAGGATGATTTCAAGCCAAAACAAATATTTAGAGGAGTTATGTGGACAAAATGAAACGTGAAGGACCAAATTGAGCCTTCGGTAAAACTTGAGGGACTAAATTAGCTATTCACCCTTTAATAAATTAAGTAGAAGAAAAACTTCCACTTTAGAAAGTTTCCATCTATAAACTTTTGATATATAAACTTTTAGCATACAAACTTTTAACATATATTTTTTTGTGCATAAACATTTGACGTGTAAACTTTTGATGTATAAATTTGCACACTAATCTAGAAAAAATATTATGCATAATATATATGTGGGACTATATTAAGAAAATGATAAAGCAAAGAACCTAGAAACTTGAGATAAATAAAAAGAAAAAGAACAGTAAATCAAAGAGGGAACAAGAGCGCTTAGGTATTTTGGGCTTGTGGGCTACCTATAGACTACTAAGCCACACGTGTATGTGTTCGCGGAGGGCGAACACGCGCGCAGTAGCCTTTTCGCATAGTGGTACATAGTACGTACGAGAGAGCAAGGTGTGCAGTGAATGAGAGGAGAGAAAAATTATAGGGGAAGAAGAGAAGGCGTGCGGAGATCAAAAGAAAAAGGTGGGGAGGAGCTAAAAGTGTGCATGCATAGACTTAATAGGCCCGCCTATGAACATCAATGTTCATATGCAGCCCTTGATGGGATACCTGATGCATTCACATAAGGGTCGTCCTTTATACTTTGTAAAAATAAAGGAAGATTTCTGTAAAGATGAATTATGTAGTAGCGAGACATATTATAAGACCATATGAAGCTCTGAAGTTCTGGGTAATTTTCTCATGGAACAAACTTATTGTGAGTTTTTCTTTATCTGATAGTTTATCATATATGGTGCAATTGCTGCTAGTAAGGGCCTGTTTGGCATAGCTCCAGCTCCAGCTCCACCCCTCCTAGAGCTGGAGCTCAGCCAAACAGTTTTAGCTCCACCAAAACTAGGAGTGGAGTTGGGTAGAGCTCTCTCACAAAATGTACTAGAGTTGTGGAGCTGGGTTTAGGCAGCTCCACAACTCCACTCCAGACTCAACTCCTGGAGCAATATTTAGGAGTTGGAGCTATGCCAAACAGGCCCTAATTGTCAGTTATCTTGCACCCACTAATTTGCCACTGAACTGCTTCAGCTGCAAACAATGAAAAAGAAAATAGAAGCATATGCCCTCTTTGTTGCCTTGTGGGCGCCCCTTTATCTTTTGCCGTTTTTTTTTGACAAATTGACCCTTTTCAAAAACTTATTTCGAAACTAACCCCTGCCAAAAACTTCAACCAAAAATAGGCCGTCGCCTCAGCGCCAAACACATTGGCGCTGACGTTGGCCGTGTTAGCGCCAACGGGACTGGCGCTGACATTGTGCCACCGTGGCGGCCGGGGCCGATCCCCAGCTGACGTGGCAGCTATCTCAGCGCCAACCGGACTGGCGCTGAGGTGGGACTTGGCCGCAACCCCAAGGCCCAGACCAGCAAGCCTTCTGGATGGCTTGCGGGCTGGGACCTCAGCGCCAGCCAAAATGGCGCTGACTGTGGGAAACTCAGCGCCAGCCAACCTGGCGCTGAGGTACGACTTGGCCGTTTCGGCCTTGGCCCAGCCAAGCAAGCCTTCTGGATGGCTTGCGGGCTGGGACCTCAGCGCCAGCCATAATGGCGCTGACTGTGGGAAACTCAGCGCCAGTCAACCTGGCGCTGAGGTGGGACTTGGCCGTTTCGGCCGTGGCCCAGCCAAGCAAGCCTTCTAGATGGCTTGCTGGCTGGGACCTCAGCGCCAGCCATAATGGCGCTGACCTTGGGAAACTCAGCGCCAGTCAACCTGGCGCTGAGGTGGCACTTGGCCGTTTCGGCCGTGGCCCAGCCAAGCAAGCCTTCTAGATGGCTTGCTGGCTGGGACCTCAGCGCCAGCCATAATGGCGCTGATCTTGGGAAACTCAGCGCCAGCCAACCTGGCGCTGAGGTGGGACTTGGCCGTTTCGGCCTTGGCCCAGCCCAGCAAGCCTTCTGGATGGCTTGCGGGCTAGGACCTCAGCGCCAGCTATAATGGCGCTGACTGTGGGAAACTCAGCGCCAGTCAACCTGGCGCTGAGGTGGGACTTGGCCGTTTCGGCCTTGGCCCAGCCCAGCAAGCCTTCTGGATGGCTGTGCTGGGACCTCAGCGCCAGGTGCACTGGCGCTGAGTTTGGACATGTCAGCGCCATTTTGCATGGCGCTGACGTCCCAGCCCTGCTAAACTTTAGCAAAACTTTGCACACAACACAGGCAAACATCAAATGACAGAAATTTACAGGCAGTAATATATCCAGAGAACCATACAAAACATACATCCATCCATCAATCCCAACATCATTCCATACATCCATAGAATCCATCAATACATCCATATATGAAGTCCATACATATAAGAAATAAAAACATCCCATCGATCCTCGGCTATACATCCAGTCGAGTCCATACATCCATCGAACCATGCATCAAGTCCATCCATCTATCCATCCATCCATTGAACCATGCACTCACCTCCTCCTACCTCTAGTGCGAGGACGAGGCACGTCGGGGGTGTACCTCCAGTCCTGCGAAGGAGCCCGCCGGCGTAGTGGTCGAGACGGGCCGGGCTGCGAGATATCCGGCTGTGACGACTCTGGTGCGTCCTCTAGCTGCGAGGGACCGAGCTCATCCGCCTCCTCTTCTCTGTCCTCATCCCCTTCTTCCTCCTCATCTCCTTCCTCTGCCTCTTTGTCTTGCTCGCCCTCCTCGTCACCCACCTCCCCTTCTTCATCCCCCTCTTGGTGGGCATGAGCATGTTCGACCACATCAGTCGACCTGCAGCCGAGCCTTGCTGCCAACTTCCGACATCGCTGCCGTAGTCTCTGCATAAAAAATAATCCATGTTAAGTTATCGCTTTTGGAAGAAAACACCGTAGTTTCATCTCTTTCCAACGATTACCTGTAGGGCGTTGCGGAGGGTGCCGCCCTCTCCTTCGGAGCCAGGAGCCGTGCCTAGCGCCACTCCCGCGTCGTTGACGGTCCGCAAGAGCTCTCGAGCCTGTAGGATTGAAATGAAGTAAGTCACAACATATATGGCATTGAAATGAAATAATATACAACATTAATGCTAGAAACTAACCACTCTGTCGCGAACAGGTCCCGTCTCGACCGTGGTACCTAGACGGGTACGAGTATCATACTCGTTCTGCTCCTCAACATCCTCGGGGTCATCCGCTATGTCGGCTAGTGTCCAAGCCGGACGTAGGACAAGACGGTAGGTCCTGTGGAGCCACGCCAAGTACAAGTCGAACTCCGTCCCGTTGTGCTGACCCTGGTCTGGTACTCCATTCTCCTCAAACTTCTCCCATTGCGTGATATGATCCTGATGGTAGTAAGCCCAATCAGTCACCTTCTTGTTCTTCCGACGGTCCACCCTGCACGTATGCAAAATGTCCAACTCAAATATGTAGTAAATGTTGAAGTGACTGATTGGGCAAGCAAAATAAATTGTTAAGTGAAATTACTAACTTGTGTAGGTCGATACTCGTGGAGAAACGGTGCGGGATTGTTTGAAGCCTCCCGAATTGCCGCATCACGCGGTGGCACATCTGGAACTCCACTGCATAGAAGCAGATCAGTGGGCACCGTAGGGTCTTCAACGCATCCTCTATATGGCACATGGGATTCAGTTCTAGCTCGAGCACTTCCTGTGCCTGATATGGCATCCACACCACCTGCAGCAACAAAAATAAAACACATTGAAGCACATTTAGTACTATATAGTAAGAAACCATCTTCATGTGTGATAGAACCCCGAATAGCTTACATGTTCTGGCTGTAGGTAGTCCATCTCGTTTGTGTAGTGGCAGTACGCCAAATTCCTGCGGCCTACTACTGGAGATGGGACCGATTCCCACAGGTGAGCTACAGTGGGACGTCGGTCTGCATCCTGGTGCGGCCAAGCCTGATGGGTCCTCCACATGGGCCGACCAACTAGAAGCCTCATCCACATCCAAACCTGCGTCACATACGTTAGCTTCCAACATGTTATCAAGAAATTGAAATGTTATGAAACATAACATGCGTGAACTTACCTGTAGCAACCAAACACAGCCTGCTAGGTTCGCGTCCCCGCCTTGCCTTCGGCAAGCATCACAGAGTTGCCGGTACAACCAGGCTAGGGCAGCCGACCCCCAACTGAAGGTACCCGCCTCGTCCCAGTCCGCGAGCAACGGCAGCCACATCCAAGAAGCCATGTCTCCACCAGAGTCAGGGAACAGAATACTGCCGAAGATGTACAGCACGTACGCCCTGCAGTATCGCTGTACTGTAGCCTCGTCTGCCTCAGCGGGACACTGACCGAAGTTGGCTCGCAACCAACTCAAAGGAACCCCTGATGTCTTCGTCTGCCTCTGACCATCAGGTGCCACTGGAGGCTCCAGACCAAGGTACTCCTCGACCCTCTCCCTCCAGTTCCCCGACGCTGTGTCACCTGTAACCGGAAATTAAATGGAATCATTAGTAATTGCAAAAAAAGTAACAAATGAATACGAAGACTCGTTAGTAATTCCCTGACGCTGTGTCACCTGTGACCGCCTGACCCCGGATAGGAAGACCCAGGATCATGGCGACGTCCTCCAGAGTGACCGTCAGCTCCCCGCACGGTAGGTGGAAGGTGTGTGTCTCTGGACGCCACCGATCCACTAGGGCCGTCAGAGCAGCGGCGTTGTACAGAGGCACCGGTCGCTGCGCCATGGTCACGAACGCCAAGAGCTTCGCCCGCCGTAGGTACGGGACGTACCGGTCGTCGAACAGTATGTGCGCCGTGTGACCTCTGACTCGAAGGGTCTTCAAGCGCTGCATCAATAGACAAACATAATAACATAAAGTTAGCGACAATATATCATATACAAGGGTTGTGGAAAATACTTCATGCAACTAGGAACTTTAATTTTGGGATTGAGCAAGAAAACTGAAAAGAAGATCTGTGTGTTTACATGCTCTGCTTTGAGGCTCATGAACTTTGATTTGAGATATCTCTATGATGGATGATCTATCTGTACAAACTAAAATCAAAAAAGAAAAAATAAATTCGATCATAAAAAAAATGGAATATTGTTGATGCTAACCTCTCCGCTGGCAATCTGTGGGGCCCGGTGCTTCTCCTCGTAGAAATCCTCCAACCCCGGAAAGTGCTCCATCCTGCAAATGAAAATGGAATCATTAGTAATTGAAAAAATATTAAATGGAAAAATCACAATGAGAACGGAAAGGAGGACAACAGAAAGTAAACATTGAAGCAACAATATGAACTTAGCAAATGAATGTCATCCAATCCCACCTGTGTGCTACCCTCACCACCTCCCCCCGTCCTACGGCGCTTTTTCGGTCGATCCTTAAACTTGTCTCGCTTCGGGCACCTAGTTTTCTTATGGCCTAGTTCGTGGTATAGCGAGCATCTATTTTGCATGACCGGCTCTGAATTTGTATTGTTCGGCTTTTGTGACCGTCGGTTGGCTGAGCCTTTGTATGCTTTGTCCATATCGTTCTTGAACCTTCTTGTCCTTCTTCTTCCTCGTGTGTTGTTCTTTAACGACAAGTCGGGCACGAAGAACTCTCCATCATAACTTGGCCACTGCGATGGATCTAGGTAAGGTTCAAACCTAGGGGAGTACGAGTCCTGCACAGCCTTATTGGAAGCTTCATAACACATTCGGGGGGCCACCTCCACATCCAAACCTCGCAACTTACAAACGGTTATCATGTGGGAGCATGGCAAGTGATGGAGCTGAGGGAACTGACAACTACATGTGTTATCTCTCGCAACCACGATGTAGTGACGTCCACCCCATTGAACCCCAGCCGCCGTGACTCCACCTTGCTCGCTGACCTCATACTTTATCGAAGGGAAATCAAAACATGCTGCTCTTTGCCCCAAGGTTCGTCTTTGCTGCTCCTCCAACATGTCCTTAACTTTTGTGGGCCACTTCTTTCCACACAGGATATCTACAGTTGCCTCTTTGTGTCTATCGACAAACCAACTATTGCACTTCGAAAATGTGTATGCCACAATAGCTGTAACCGGCAGTTTCCGAATGCCTCTCAATACATTATTGAAACTCTCGGCCATATTACTAGTCATGATGCTATGACGACGCCCGTTGGTATCAAATGCTCTTGCCCATTTGACCTTAAGTGGCATATGGTCTTCTAGCCACTTCTTTGGCCTCTCTCCGACCACACCCATGAGGCGTTTTATCTCATCTAGGAACAATGCTTTCTCATTTATTTGACATATGCGCTCAAGATCTTTCATCTGATCAGTCGTAGCTCCAGCTGTGTAGAAGTTAGCACAGAAGTGCCTCATGCACCACCTGTGGTGAATGGTTAGGTGATGAGGCATGATGTGGATGATGGAGTTCAAAATGCCAGGGTGTCTATCAGAAATTATACACACTTCTCTATTAGGCCCGATCAACTTGTTTCTCAACATGTTGATGAACCACTCCCAGTTGGATGTATTCTCCTTCTCTACCAGAGCAAACACCAAGGGAACAAGATGTAACCCGGCGTCGACCCCTATTGCCGTGAGCAATGTACCTTGGTATTTACCGGTTAAGAAAGTGCCATCAATTGCTAGCACCGGCCTCAAGTGCTTGAATGCTTCTATGGACTGGCCAAATATCCAATATGCACGTCCAAATACTCGCCTCTGTACTCCATCCACCATCCTGGACTTCTCGGGATGAGCCTCAACACGGAAATGCATGGTAGGGTTCTTTGCTTTGATGGCACGCATCAGTGTAGGCAAGCGAACATACGCCTCGTCCCAATCTCCCCAAATAACCTTCATAGCAACTTGCTTAGCACGCCATGCTTTGCCATACGTAGGCCGATAGTGCCATATTTGCTCAACTGCCTCGACAATCGCTGCTGGAGATAAAGTTGGTTCAGCTCGCACAAATGCATGTAACCTGTTTCCAATAAACCTTGAAGTAAGTTGCAAATGCTTGCCGGTTACTTCCGCACTACAGCATGTGTGGTCTTCGCCCACCCTAGTCACCCGCCACCTATCTCCTCCACTCTTCCTTGCATTAATCTGCCATTTGCAATAGCGATCGAGACAAGCAACAGTATACTTTACTGACGCGTTAGATTCCTTCACATGGTACGGCCGGTGGACACGGATAGAATAACTCTGTAGCCATATTTTCAGATCATCCATCGATCGAAACTCCAACCCCTTCCTTGGTTCATCACACATTGGTTCGAAGGCACCGTCATATTGTGGATCCCCATCAGCAATTGCTAGCCCAGATCTGGTAAGATCCTCGAATTGTGTTATTTCCGGGTTTCTACCCACCAGTTTCGCAAACACAGTCCTTTCATGCTCTGACATCTTACGCACTGGACGATCATCATCGGAGTCGGAAGCGGACTCATCCAATTCATCCTCTGTATCATACTCCAACCAGCCTGGGTTCAATCCACTGCGTATCATAGCCTCCTCACACTCCTCTCGGGTATAGAATTTCAGCCTAGCCAACTCCCTTAGGCCCATACTTACATTCTTAGCATTCGCTTCTTCCTCAGGCAACTCCACATCATCTCCTACCTCCCGACCATCCTCAACATCTCCTTCCTCTCTTACCGGCACATTCTCCTCCACATTAACTTCATCCCTTAACGGCACATTGTCCTCTGCATGTACTTCTTCCCTTAACGGCACATTCTCCTCTGCATGTACTTCCTCCCTTACCGGGTCATTCTCTTCCCTGACCTCCACATCCGCCATATCATTTACTCCCTCGCCCCCCTCCACGTCTTCCTCAATCAATTCTTCCTTCCTACTACACCTCTCCGACAGTTCGTGACAGCTAATGGGTGATTCTATAAGTTCTTTCTTCCCTATCCTACCATCTTTCTTCCATGCAAACACCTCAAGAGATTTGAAATGTGACCCCAATACTATATCTATATATGTTTGCCATTCGATCTCTCCATTCAAGTCTAACATAAATTTATGTGACATGACACCGCCGCCCACCTCGTATCTCCCTTGCATACCAACCGACTCATCATTCCAATCCAATTCATGCTTGATGCGAGACATTAACTCCTCAAAGGTAGGCTTCGCAAAAAACACTAATTGTCTAACTGTCATTCCCTCAAATTGGCTTCCATGTGTACTTTCATCTACCACACAACCACCATAATGAAGCCGGACCAATCTATCCATCTACAATTTTAAACCCATGCATAAACATTAATTACTTGAAAATAATATGTAATTACCATTGCAATACCAATACTTCAAAAGCTAACAACATGTCTAATTTTTCCAATAAATAAGTACATTACTCAAATACTACACATTATTGATAAAAAAAAAACTCTACTCCTACAAATTACCTACCCTTCACCACACATCAACCCCTTTCAAACCCTCTCAATCACCACAAATCCATCCCACATCCTAGGCCATCACCACACATCCATCTCCCATCAAACCCTAGTGCATCACCAAACATCCATCCCAAATATATTTTGTCAAATGTATCAATAACAACCAAATGGATAAAGATATGCCACTTCCACACTTCATCCCCACCCATATTATCCATCTAATAATCCATCCTTAGCCAACTATTATCAAACCACGTCTACAACCAAAACAATGCAAAATATCCAATAAAACTTTGGGGAACTTAGGGTTTATAGAGGGGTTTACCTTCTCTTCCGATCCCAAACTCAATGCCGCACAAATCACCTTCGATTAGAGAGGTTTTTGGGGGAGATTGGGCGAGGAGAACGCGGTGGCGACCGAACCCTAGGCGGGCGGCTGGGGAAAAAACGGAGGAAGAACTGGCTGGGGCGGCCTCGGCCGGGCTCTAAGTAGCCAAGGTCAGCGCCAACTTACTTGGCGCTGAGGTTGGGCACCTCAGCGCCGAAGCGGTTGGCGCTGAGGTAGCTACCACGTCAGCTAGGGGATCGGCCCGGCCGCCACGGTGACACAATGTCAGCGCCAGTCCCGTTGGCGCTGACCAACCTCAGCGCCAATGCGCTTGACGCTGAGCCGACGGCCTAGTTTTGGTTGAAGTTTTTGGCAGGGGTTAGTTTCGAATTAAGTTTTTGAAAAGGGTCAATTTGTCAAAAAAACGGTTATCTTTTGCCAATGGCTTTGCTTTTGCACCCAGTGGCAGTTAGAGGCAACTGCACATGTGCTTATTTAGTTTCTGCATTGGTCAAAAGAGAGAAAAAAAATCAAATGGAAATACTGAAGAAGTGGCTTATGGAGTTACTGTACCAAAAGCATCTTGAAAAAAAATGCTATTTCAGGCATTTTCCATAAAAAATGGTTTAAACTGCTACCTGATCAACTTTGACTAATTTTATCCATGTCATTCAGCTTGGTACTAAACCAGTATATCTGTACATGGATTGCGAGAATGGTCACATATCATGTCAAATAGGCCTGAAGTTTGTACAATATGATGATCAATATTGCAGAAACAAACACATCAGATGACGTTTGTTGAAATGCCTAACAGAGACAAACCGCTAAAAGTTATTTTCATGGACAACCATGCATATATATTTGCTGCCACGAGCCATTGTATTTTTCTCCTTCAGAAATTCAAATCTGTCAAGCAATAATGCAAGGAGACACTCCAATCTCCGGTCACCAAACAAAAAACCGCGTTATTCGGAGAGAGCACCAAAGATGGATCATCACACTTGCACGTGTTGATTCCGTCTGAAACTCTGAATCAATGGGCTGGTAGGCAGTTTCATGCATCTACGAACAGCAGCAAATTGGTGAAAGCCCCAGGTGATTGACTGGCCATGGCTGGCTTGACCAATGAAAAAGCTTCTCATTGGAGCATGTACTAGCTAACTAAATTTGAAAGAGACTAGCTAGCTGCTTGCCCCAATGGTTTTGTACCACAGCCCAGCTCAAGTTGCCAAGTTGGTACTCCTGTCTGAATCATCAGTCTGAACTTGACCTGCAACTAGCCTGTGTCGTTGGCTCGTTGCCATGGTCTTCCTTGTCAATCCAACCTGCATCTATGCCCATGCGTGTGTTCTGACCAACCTGCTTGTTTTATTGTATATATGCCCTGCTCTTCCTTCTCCGAGTAGCTGAGCAGCACACAACACATATGTATACTTCCTCTCTGCTTTCTCCATCCCATTTTCTTCGCCATGACCACCCTGCTTTACATATCGCTTGGCTTTCTTCTCTTCTCCCTGCACGTTACTCCGCCATGCTCTGCCGCCACGAATGATACTCTCGCGGCAGGCGAAGTGCTCGCCGTTGGTGACAAGCTTGTGTCAAGAAACGGCAGGTTCACGCTCGGCTTCTTCCAGCCAAGCGTCGTCGTTAAGTCTGGCAACATCACCTCTCCCAATTGGTATGTTGGAATATGGTTCAGTAACATCTCAGTTTTTACTACTGTCTGGGTTGCTAATAGGGATAGTCCAGTCACTGAACTCCAGCTCAATCAAACGCAGCTGAAACTATCAAAAGATGGCAACCTTGTCATCTCAAGCAATGCATCCATAATCTGGTCCAGTACTGTCAATAGGACATCAGCCACCACCATGAACAGCAGTACCAGTGTCGTTCTCTCAAACGATGGAAACCTTGTGATAGGAAGCTCACCCAATGTGTTGTGGCAGAGCTTTGACTATCCGTCAGATGTTTTGCTTCCTGGAGCCAAGTTTGGCTGGAATAAGGTCACTGGCTTTACTCGTCGGTTCACATCAAAGAAGAACCTGATTGATCCAGGTCTTGGCTTGTACTATGTTGAGCTTGACAACACAGGGATTGACCTTAGCCGTAGTAACCCCCCAAATATGTATTGGTCTTGGTCATCTGAAAAGTCATCAAGTGCACTTATATCATTACTTAATCAGCTGATAAACATAAATCCAGAGACTAAAGGTCGGATTAACATGACATATGTCAACAACAATGAAGAAGAGTACTATGAATACATTTTATTGGATGAATCATATTATGCATATGTCTTGCTAGACATCTCTGGGCAGATCGAGATAAATGTTTGGTCACAAGATACACAATCCTGGAAGCAGGTTTATGCCCAACCAGCTGATCCCTGCACGGCGTATGCTACTTGTGGACCTTTCACAATCTGCAATGGCATTGCACATCCATTCTGTGACTGTATGGAGAGCTTCTCTCAAAAGTCGCCTCGAGATTGGGAGCTTGATAATAGAACAGCAGGTTGCTCTAGAAACACTCCGTTAGATTGCAGTAACACGACAAGCTCCACAGACGTGTTCCACACCATAGCTCGTGTTAGATTGCCCTACAACCCCCAAATTGTAGACAATGCTACCACTCAGAGCAAATGTGCACAGGCTTGTCTCAGTTACTGCTCCTGCAATGCCTATTCCTACGAAAATAGTAAATGCTCTATTTGGCATGGAGATTTGCTTAGTGTAAATAGGAATGATGGCATTGATAATAGTTCTGAAGATGTTCTCTACCTTCGGCTTGCCGCCAAAGATGTGCCAAGTTCGAGAAAAAACAAAATAAAGCCAATCGTTGCAGTTGTTGCTGCAAGCATTGTCAGTTTGTTGGTAATGCTCATGCTGATCTTACTGGTATTAAGGAAGAAACTAAGGTTCTGTGGCGCACAATTACACGACAGTCAATGTAGTGGTGGAATTGTGGCCTTTAGATACAATGATTTATGTCATGCTACTAAAAATTTCTCTGAAAAGCTGGGAGGAGGTGGTTTTGGTTCTGTATTCAAGGGAGTGCTAAGTGACTCGACTATTATAGCAGTGAAAAAGCTTGACGGTGCTCGTCAGGGAGAGAAGCAATTCAGGGCTGAGGTGAGCTCAATTGGATTGATCCAACATATCAACCTTGTCAAATTGATTGGTTTCTGTTGCGAAGGTGATGAGAGACTACTTGTGTATGAACACATGGTAAATGGTTCTCTTGATGCCCATCTGTTTCAGAGCAAGGCTACTGTCCTGAATTGGACCACCAGGTATAACCTAGCCATAGGAGTTGCTAGAGGATTGTCCTACTTGCATCAGAGCTGCAACGAATGCATCATACATTGTGATATTAAGCCAGAAAACATACTTCTCGATGCATCGTTTGCCCCTAAAATTGCAGACTTTGGGATGGCAGCATTTGTAGGAAGGAACTTTAGCCGAGTTTTGACTACATTCAGAGGCACAGTAGGATATCTTGCTCCAGAGTGGATTAGTGGAGTTGCTATTACACCAAAAGTTGATGTTTATAGCTTCGGTATGGTACTTTTGGAAATCTTATCAGGAAGAAGGAATTCATATAAAGTTCATACTGATGACAATAGTGATCAAGTTGCCTTTTTCCCTGTGCAAGCCATTAGCAAGCTTCATGAGGGAGATGTCCAGAGTTTGGTAGACCCGCAGTTAAATGGTGACTTCAGTCTAGTAGAGGTTGAAAGAGTTTGCAAAGTTGCATGTTGGTGCATCCAAGAGAATGAGATTGATCGGCCAACAATGAATGAAGTGGTCCGGGTTCTTGAGGGTTTACAGGAGCTTGATATGCCTCCAATGCCACGGCTACTTGCAGCTTTAGCAGAATGCACTGTTGTGGCTCACTGTGATGATGATTCATAAGTACTTCCTAGTTGATGTTAATAATATTTGTCTTAGAAAATTTTGAGGTTCTAACATGAGTGGAAGAAAAGGAATGTAAGCTGGGTAGTGCTAAATTGTAACGCATTTTTTCAATAACCAATTGTTGTAAGCAGGCATTACAGCAAAGATTTGGCAGAAATAGAGATACATGCCCGATGCCTATGTTTTGTTGATGGTCTAGTTGGCATATATTGTTAAACTCAACAAGTTAATCTATGCCACTACTTGCTGCATGCTTGCTTCAGAGATGTCAGTTCTAAAAAAATAAAAAATTTACTGCATGCTTGCTTCAGAGACATATCAGTTCTAAGTTGCTTACTGCAATATGCTACCATAGGTTTCAACTGAAATATGTTCCAGTTGAATGTTTCTGTTTCCTGCAAAATCGTAGGTTTTCAACAGTATTTCATATTAATTGCTCAACCATTTCCTTCATTCCAAACAGGTGAATAGATACATGACCCTTAGTCCAAACGGACTCAGAATATCTCAAGTACAGTTTTTTTCCAATAAAATATATTTTGCTCACCTTTTTATATCTCTACTATTATAAAAATTGAAGATGTTTTTGCCGGTATTTTGGTACGTCATCCGTGTATGAGTCGGTCTTTAAGTTCGTTCGCTTTTGGAAATACAAATCCATATTTATTTGAGTCGGATTTTAAGTTCGTTCGGTTTTGGAAATACAAAAGGAGTTGTATAAAAAATCCCTTTAAAAAAATACATACTAACTTGAGATGATCGGACTTCTAATTGTAGCACATGATTTTCTAAAAAAAAATATATCCAAACGAATTCTCACAATGAATTTCATCTTAACTAACCGTATAACAATAATAAGATTAAAATAGTCTCCACCCGTTGCATCGCACGGGCATTTTTTCTAGTAATATATAAAGCATGGCCTTGGCAACGATCTCGCTGAGCACATAATGAGCAGTGAGTGAGGATTGGCTGAGCGTGCTTTCACTGCTCGTGGTGGAGTACTCGGAATTATTCACTCTACTATTGCCTCAGGATGTGATCAGGATTAAGCTGTGTGTCAAAACCAAGGGGGACTCAAGAGATTCAATCTTTTTCGCACTAATGGAGGACATGAATCCTAGGAAAATTCTCTATGGTATAGTCTATTAAAAATAGAATTTCTAATAAGAAATTCTACTGCTAAAGTCAAGCCTATTAATAGAAGCTTCATCACACTCTATATTGTGCGGGACAAGAAAGAAAGAGTCAAAGCCATGGATATCGCTGAACGACTACTAGTGATTCCTCAGGAAATCCAGAATATAGAAAACAATAAGCTTGAAGTAGAGCAAGTCCTGGGTTTCATCGGTGAGCCTTTGTTTCTGTCTATCATGGCTGCCACCAAAGTGACCATAGAAACTAAAATAGAAAAGGTAGTTACTTGTCTATCCCAACGTAAATGAACAAAGTCACTTGAGATATCTACTTTTTTCTATGCTAGTTTCTACGGTCACCATGGTGGGCAGCCATCACGATGAGCGATTGTTGTTCTTCCAGCAGCACCCTCCTCATATTTTCAAGAACGTGGATTTGGTTCTGAAGATGAACTCTATGGTTGTGTGTATGCCAACAGTATCTACTTCAAGCCTTTTGATTTCCATATTTGGATTTCATGGGGAATCGCAAACAGTCTTGCAGCCATATCGATGGATTTGAGCCTTTGACTCTTTCTTTTGTTATCTCATATAATATAGAGTGCGCTGAAGCTTCTATTTATAGGCTCATCTATTCTTTAGCAGAAGAATTTCTTATCAAAAGTTCTTTATTACAAAGAAGAATGGATCCCCTCCTCCCTCCCTCCCTGATGTTAACATGCGGCTTAATACCGATCACATCATGAGGCAATAATAGAGCGAATAATTCTAAGAGCGCTCCACTACGCTCGATCACATGCTGAGGCAATAATAGAGCGAATAGTTCTCACAATACTCCACCATGAGCAGCGAAAGCATGCTCAACCAATCCTCACTTGACACCAACCAGATCAGGGAGGGTCCTAGCTACTGGTGGGGTTAGGCATCTAGAAAGCTGGACTACATCTCATTTTAGTTTATGTTTGGATATCAATATATCATCTGGAATTTCAACAACTAATCATAATCAGAGAGAGAGAGAGAGAGAGAGAGAGCAAGAAACTCACATCCCCAACATTGAGCAGAGGAGGGATTCGGGGACTGAAACCGAGCACAAACTGGATTGGGGATCCAGGCAAAGAGCGAGCAGCCAAGAACTCACCATTGACGAGCACAACATACCGTTGTCGCCAATGCCGCATCGACGCCATTGACCGCGGATGTGGATGAATGGATGGAGGAAGTTGGCGGCGGCGCGTGGGGTGGAGAGCCGAGGAGGCCGGTGAGGCGGCGGCGCAGGCGCAGAGGAAAGAGGCAGAGAGGGGTTGGCTGCGGCGGAGCGGAGGAAGCGGCGAGCGAGGAGGAGTTGGAATTTGGGTGTGGTGTTTATATGCTTCCAATTCTAAAGGACAGCTGCCAAGCACTCACTCCTTTCCCTGGAATCTGATTCCGTGTCTCTTTCCCTGGAATCTGATTCCTATTCGTCAATATCTACAATACGAAAGAGGCCGGCAGTGTTCTTTTCCATTTTTATTCCGACTCACGGTTTATAGGATAATAGTATTACCTTCGTCCTAAAATATACTAGTAATTTTTAACAAAATGTAATATATACTGGTAAGTTTTAAACGGATGTAGCATATATTAGTACTATTAATCTAGACAGAAATATGTTTTGATTCGTATTATTAGAATATATCTCATTCGTAGCCCGTAGACCCTTATCCAGATTCATATTATTAATATGTAATCCATCCATCTAAAAAAATTTATATTTTAAAACGGATGGAGTATTGATTAAAGATTTACAAACTAGTATCAATTCTAGTATCCTCTACCTGATTAATAAATTTTAGAGAAAACTAAACCACGGTATCCCGTGGGGACAGGATAGTGCTCATCCACCCGAGCCCCATCTGTTTGTCGCTCTCTCTTCAGATAATTTCCACGCCTCGTCAACTCAGCTCCCCACCGACATGGCCAGCGGCGGCGATGACGACTCTGCCTCCGCGCTCTGACGACGCCCCGCACGAACTGTTCATCTTGTCCACATCTCGCCAACGGACGACGACTTCGCCTCCGCGCTCCGACGACGCCTTGCCGGTGGAGCCGGAGCGGGAGGCGGCGGGCGAGGTCAGGGAGCACGAGCGGCTCGGCGAGCGATGCGCGCAGCGCGTCCACCAGCGGCGCCGCTGCCACGAGCGGGAGGTGCGCCGACGCGAGCTTTCTCGAAGGTGTAGTCCAGGTGCCGCACTACCATCGTCTTGCCTCCATGCTCCACCACGGCTGCCTTATCCTCTCTCTCTCCTCCTCCTTCTCCAGGCTACCAGGTACTAGGTATCACAGGTACCAGGTATCACGGGGTACCAGGTACTAGGTATCACGGGGTAACAGGTACGGTACCTGGTACCCGTGATACCTGGTACCTGATACCTAGTACCCATGATACCTGATACCTAGGTACCATACTTGGTACATGTGAGAATTAGGCATGATACCTTTCGTCATCGAGACAGCCGGCGGCAGTGGCGACGAGGTACGTAGCGTGGTTGTACATGACGACAGTGTATTGCAGTAGGGAAGGGAACATGGACAAACTCGATGTGGGCGACGTCCTCGACGAGCAGCTCGAAGTGGTGGCCGACGCACGTCAGGAAGAGTCGCGTGGCTGCGCAGCTTGTTGGAAGCTTGCATGTGGGGGTGAGGTGCGCGCCTTCAGGGATATATGCGGCGTTAGGCTGTCGCCCCGAGCGATGTGAAGGGCATCCCGTGGGGTAGCAGCCCTCTAAATTTTAGGTAGAGGAGTAATTGTTTTTAATAAAGTGAATTGTAGTTTGGACTAACCTTTATCTAATCTTTTCACTTTAAACTAGATAAATTAATCTTTCGGCTCATCGTTTCGCTTATGTTATACTCCCTCCTTTCCATAATACAAGAGATCTTGGAGAGACGTGATACATCCTAAAACTACGAATCCTGGACAGACTCCTTATATATATTCGTAGTATAGAATGTGACGGAGGGAATACATATCAATATGGTTTATTATCAACCAAAAATAATTTATAGATAAAACTTTTTTATATGTGTCTTTAATAATTCAAAAGAAAAAGTTATAAAATAAAATAGATGAAAAATCATAAAATCATCTCTAAAATTAAACTTTAGAATTCAAATTTTGGTTCAAATTTTCAGTTCACCAGTAGTGGATTAACGAAAACCCCGACTTGTTGATGCCTGCGCATTCGGTGTGGATCAACGACAGCCACCCAGTCGCCGGCAGTGTCCAGAAGCAGCAGAAGATGAGCGGCCTCCAGCAAGCCATGCTAAAGTGGCATGCATCCAAAAAGATCAATATTCAGTATTTTGTTTAGATAATGGAGATTTATTGATTTTAGTCAATTACATTAATGGATTAGTATCCAGTACTACTCCAGGTTGGATTAGTAACAGAACCATGATTATTGAGGGTTTTGCATGCTCTGAGAACTCTCATATATGATCAGATCAGGATGTTACTTTGAAATTAATCCTCCCATGATTCCTGGACATGATCATCAGTTACTTGGTTTAGATCTCTATTTGTTATTTATTTATTTATTTATTTAATAAGGAGGCGTGAGAGCTAGCCGCCGTCCACGTCAGCGGCATGCGAGGAGCCACTGGGCATCACCAGCACGGTGGGGGTGGTTGCGGTGACGCGTCCTTGAGGTGAGAGAGATTAGTAGAGAGAGAGAGGGATGATAGGTGGGTCCTACTATATTTATTTTAAATTTTTTATGACTGGGCTACCACGTGGACGACATGTCAACGAAACCATCCTCCAAAACCGCTGAGAGAGTCGTTTTAGATAATTTTAATAGTTGGGAGTCATCATATTAGGATTTCCAGTTAAGAGATAAGAATTAGATTCAGTCAGTAAGGGAGTCAAAGTGGACTTATTTCCCCTTGTGGTCCATCATTCTATTCTACCCAGCTTGCAATTGTGGGCTTAATTGAATGACGTCTCTTTTCGCAACTTGTATATTGTATTCCTATAAGGAATAAGTTCACCGGAGGTCTCTCAACTTAACTGTGAGATTTTTTGATATCCCTTAACCATAAAACCAGAAACATGCA